CCCCCCCCCCCCCCCCTCATCCATCACATCATGTACATACACTGACTGGCTGGCCAAGAGACTAACTAAAAGAAGGGGAAGTTCTTGCCCGTCAACGCCGCCTGGGTGATCATGCCTGATGGATGGATGCGACAACCGACAACCAAACAACCAGGGTTCGGTGCAGAAGCAGCCTCGCCCTCCCCCCCTCCCTGTCTCTGTGTGTGTGGTGGTAGGCTTACCCGAGAATGCGAGCATCGCAAGGCGGCTGATGACAAAACAGACAGACACAGAGAAGCCAGGCAGCCGGAGTGGACATGACTCAACATCGATGCGGCTGTTTGTGCGGCTCCGCTCACCCGTTCTTGAGTTCCTGTGTCCTGAGCACCCGCGCCCTCTCGGGGGTCCTGGTCCAGCCGAACGGATCCATCGAGAAATCACCCGGCTCACTGACACGCCACGCATCATAGTACACACCACAGCACACGATGTGGTAGGTGGACGACTGGATGGCTGCAGAGTGTTGAGCGTTGAGCATACCGGTCTTTCTCGTCCATGTCGACGACGGTCTTGAAGGTCACGATCTCCCACAAGGAGACCCAAAACAGCAGCTGCACACAGACACACAGACACACCGGTGGGTGCGTGTTGTGGCCCTCGTCGGGGTGTGGTGTGCGCACCAACCTGTCCCATGACACCATTCTCGACGAATTTGTCGTGGGCGGCCAAGACTGAGATGCCCTCACGGCCGGGGAGGGTCCAGAAGGAGGGCACCACCATACCCAACACAGCCAACATGGCAATGCGACCATGCTAAACACACACACACACACACACAGCAATGTGTGTGTGTCATGGATTTGTCCGTGTGTGGGTGTGTGCTGTTGACTGACTGACCTTGATTTCAGCTTCTCTGAAGAAGGTGAGGTATTGGGGGAACTGCTCGGCCAAACCGAGGGGATCAAACTGGACACACACACGCACACACACACACACACCCCAAAGCCTCACGCAAGGGCTGCAGCGATGGCCCAGCACCCCCACCTACATTTCTGCTGAATGGTTCAGGGCCGTCGCCCCCCACCATATCGTCCAAAGTGGCCTGCGCACGCATCACTGACCTGCACAGCACACAGCACACCCATCAAGCGACAAACAGGCACAGATCAGATGTGTGACAGCATCTGGACAATAAGGCATCTGCCTCCTCTTCTACTGCAGAGGCAGTTAGGTAACTGACCTCTTGGGCTGCTGCTGCCTAGATCGGAGTGCTGCGGGAGCGCTGGGGACGAATGCGAGTGAGGATGAGAGGAGGCAGAGGGCCACGGCCACAGCTAGCAGGGCGCTGGTGCTCGACATGGTGAGGGAGGGGGGAGGAGAAAGAGAGGGAGAAGGTGAGCAGCAGACAATCAGAGTGCGAGCTGAAGCTCGCAATCAGACCTGTAAATTCTGTAAATTCTGGCTTGAGATGATGATAACCTTACCATCTTTTGTGGTGTCGGTTGTGGCTGCTGGAGAGATCTTTTACTGCATCGCTGGGCTGACTTTCCCCCTCCTCATCGTCACCCTCCTGCTGCCGCTCTTCTTCCTGCTGCCCCCCGTGCGCCTCATCCACGACGATGCCCCATCAGCCGCACAGGTACGCTCACTCCCCCACCGCACAACACATCTTCAGCTCGTGCATACTCGTGCATCCGTCGGCCCATTTGTCGATCACGGGTGCACCTGGACGCAATGCGTGGTGTGGGCGTAATGTGTGGTTGCCTAATTGTGCCTGCGGCAGGAGCAACAAATGGACCAACGGATGCACAAGTATGCAATCGTGATGACACCGGGTCCTACACGGCCTACACGGCAGCTCAGCCAGAGCCAGAATCGGCCCCAGAGGGCTGACACGCTCGGCTGGGTGGACGAGTTTGTGGCCTTTGGTGGGTGGTTCACGAGTGCTGAGAGCCAGCGGCACATGGAGGGAGAGGAGGTGTGGTTCGACTGCGGGGAGCAGGGACGGATGCAGCAACAACTCTGGGCGCTGGAGCAGAAGATCAAGCAGGTGCTGGCTGGCTGGCTGGATGGATGGATGTGATCTCCGTGTGTGTTCAGATGGAGGAGGCGGATCGCACACAAGAGGATGCGCATCGCAGCCACGTGAGGCGGTATCTGGATGCCATGGAGGATTTGCGGCTGGAGCTCCAGGGGGAGAGGGCTGCCAGACAGGCACACGCCCAACAGCTGGAGGTCGGCCATCCATGCCTCGATCGATTGTCATGCACTGCATGCTGTTGATGTGTGTGTGTCAGGACCTGCGCGCGCATGTAGCGGATGAAGTGACGACGGGCGTGCAGGTCCAGCTACACGACAACAACCAATCCGTGCAGCAGGCGCTCCAGTCAATGGACAACAAAATCCTCATTCTCACATCGGTAGGCCACGCCGCCCCCAATCATTGGCGGCATTGAATATTTGCCCACTCGCTGTGTGTCGCAGAATGAGGTCAGGAACCTTATGGCCGTCTCGCACAACATCTGCACACCTAAGAAGCAGGTAGCAACAATCGATGAAAGCTAGACCATTCGCGACTTCATCCGGTGATCCATCTGTGTGTGTGCGTGTGTGCAGTTTTTGCGTTTGTCGTCTTACTACGGCAGCTATGGTGCGCTGCGTGCCTGGCTGAGCCGCTACATCTACATCAAATCTATGAAGCTCGTGTACAAGTAAGTACAGGGACACACCACACCGCACACATCGGGTGGGTGGATGGTGCTTATGTGCAATGTGCATGTGCGTTCAGGTCGTCGCGTGATGGTTTCAAGTACTCGACCTTCCTCGACAAAATCGATGGCGTGTCCCGGCTGCTGCTGCTGATCCGCGATGGCCCCGAACACCTCATCGCATCGATCATCGACGGCCCCCTCACCCTGCCCCAAGACCCCACAAGCTTCATATTCACCCCGTGCGTCGTGTCATTCTACGCCATCAGTGGAAGGGTCGAGACACCGACCAAGATGGCCATACCGTGGGGAGGGGGCGTGTCGGTCGCGGGACGGGAGGGGGATGTGAGGGATGGACGGGCAGTCTGCAAAGTGTGGATCGGTGTGAGCTGGACAGTGGGTGTGGCTTTGGGATATAGTGAGGACCCCGGCGTCCCAGCCGCCGATCTGAGTAGCTGTCGTGTGTATGTGTGGGTGGGGTGGCTGCCGTTCGGCTATCAGGGAGCGGTGGAGAATGAGTATCGCCAGGCCCCACTGGCGCGCCAGATGGAGTTCACCGCCACCGAAGCGGTATGCAATCAATCAATGCACCAACACACATGTTTGTACGCTCAGTCAGCTCGACAATCGGCCCCTGTATGTGTGTCTCTTTGTGCAGGAGGTATGGGCGCTGCCCAAGTGACCGACCCATCGGAGAGGAGGACACGACGCACAAAAGCAAGGTAGCTGCTTACAAGTGAACCTGCGCAGACCCATCTCCGTCCCTTTGTGTGTGCGTCCCTTTCCACCACTCAGGTGGCGATAAACGGATGGAGCAGCAGCAGCTGAGTGCGCATGCAGCTCAGCCAGTCGAGATGCGTAGATACGTGTCGGTGTACATACGTCGGCCGGCTCGTATGTACACCGTCTCTTTCAGCCTGTGCAGGGCATGTGTTGGCTGTCAGAGTCAGAATCACTCAGCAACACATGCATGCGGTGAGATGTGTGATGAAAGACGGGTCAACGAAGGAATTGGTCCATGGGAAACGGCTGAGACCCCGGAAGCAACCGGTAGGGAAGGACCAAAATCGGCTGAATCAATGCAGTAGAGCCTCTTGTTTTCCCATGTATGCGCCGGAGACCCCGATAACGAAGGAAGACGGTGTTTCTCTCCAGGAAAACTTACGATCGCGAGACGGCGAGCTTTTTGGCGCAGATCTCGCGAAGAGAGGCGGCGAATGGGCGATGAGTGAAGACGGATCTTTGCTGAGGGTGTTCGAGCTCTTCTCGGGCATCGGCGGGCTGCATCTGGCCATCAAAGATGCCGCACAGAGGGTACGGGACGCACCAACACACGTGCATCCACCGCCACAAACCCACGGCGTTTGCGTCCGTAATGGCGCTTTGGGTGTGTGTCCTGCAGGTGGGCATCCCGTTTCGCCTCGTGAAGGCGTTTGACGTCAACACCATCGCCAATCAAGTCTATCTACACAACTTCGGCATGCAACCACAGCAGGTTTGTGTGAGGAACGGTGTACATTCATTTGATGGGTCCTGACTCCCATATGCGTGCTCGTGCAGGGTCTGATAGAGCCGCTGTCAGCCTCTGAGTTTGATGGCCGTGCTGACGTGTGGCTGATGAGCCCTCCGTGCCAGCCCTACACAAGGGGGTGAGTCAGCACCACCGACCCAATGCTTACTCATGCGGCACACGGATGAGTTTTCCTTGTTTCAGAGGCAAGCAGTTGGACGCGGAGGACACTCGCGCGGCTGGACTGCTGCATCTGTGTGATATCATCAAGTGAGCAGGCCATCAAGGCAGACAAACAGCTGTATGAGTTGTGTGTGGTGGTGTGATTCACGGTCTGTCGACAGGGAGTTGGCTCATCCCCCCCGGCTGCTGTTTCTTGAGAACGTGCGGTGCTTCGAGAAGTCGCAGTCACACAAACGCCTCATGGACGCCCTCCACTCACAGGTACACATTGACCCAGACGCAGGCACAAACATATCATATGTGCATCTGATCTGCGCCCATGATCTGATCAGCACTACGCGATAGAGCAGTTCATCGTCACCCCCTCTCAGCTGGGCATTCCCAACACACGCGTCCGCTACTACTGCATCGCAATCCGGTCCCGTGATCTGACACCAGAGGCTTCACCAGGCGTCGAGAGCATGGCCTTCGAGATGCCGGCTGTCGATGGGAGGGAGATACCGGCGGACATGGGTCGTGTTGGCGATTACGTGGAGAGGAAGGGACGACATCTGGCGGATCTCTTGATCGACAGAAATGTTTTCACCAAGAATGAAACGTCCGTGAGCGGGGTGGGTGCATGGCATGGGAACGGACGCAGAGGAAGGAATGTGTGTGATGCCTGCCTGCCTGACGGTCTGGTGCGGTGTGTTTGTTGGTGTAGGTTTCTGTTTGACGTCGCGTGCGAGGACACGCGGGCAACCACAACATTCACAAAAGGGTAGGCAGGGCATGCACACATGCCTGCCATTCACAAAAGGGTAGGCAGGCATGCACACATGCCTGCCATCCACACACACAGAGCATCTGACCTTCCCTTCCATCCGTCAGTTATGGCAGAAACGAGGGCCGTGCAGGGCCCATTCTCCTCTGCGACCGGCAGGGCCGACCCCTCCCCTCCTACCCCCCCGCCCAACAAACCATCCAGGTCAACGGCCCTTCCGTCGACTCACCAGAGGACTGCCGCATCGACGGAACCCTGGTCAGCATGGAGACCTACCGGCATGTCATCGACACACACGTGCTCGACACAAGGAGGTAGGTTGATCTGATCTACATCCTGCACACAGGCAATGGTTGGCGCCATTCCTTCTCTCTTTGTCTTCAGGTTTAGGTGTGTCTGTGTGTCGTGTGACGACGAAGCGGCTGAGTGTGTGCGCTATCGCTACTTCAGTCCGCGCGAGATGCTGCGGGTGCACGGCTTCCCCGAGAAATTTGCCTTCCCCGCATGTGTGACCACCCGTCAGCAGTACGGGCTCATCGGCAACTCGATCAGCATTCCTGTGGTGGCCCACCTGCTGCAATATGCGCTGCACAAGTGCATGCTGTTGATGGATGGGGAGGGAAGGGCCGGCAGCTAGGGCAGACAGACAGACAGTGGGTGAGTGACAAGGATCTATCGTGTTTTCCCCGGTGCGTGTGTCCTTGTATGTACAGTGCGGCGCGTGTGTGCAAAGTGCATTGATTGTTGTCTTATTTGGACGGACTTGGGGTATGGACACGCTAAGAACGGCTGGGCAATGAGAATGACGACTTGTTGACCATGAAGCCAACATTTGCTTGTCGGGACACACAGACAACGACACGGTCATACCACACACACACACACACACACTCACACAGATCGAGGCACATCGAGGCACGAAGGCACTGCTGTGACGGACGGGCGGACGGCCAAGAGGGTCTGAACAGCCATATGTGTACAAGTACGGCCGCTCTCCCCCTCACACATCAAGAACATGGACATGAATGCTATTCACAATCAGGCTCGACAACCTGTTGCTCACTCAATGGACGGCAGAATGGCTCGCTCAACAACAACTGACTCGCTCACTCACTGACTCATTTCTTGCCTCCAAAGAAGTCTTGCAATCCATTTTGCGACATCCCCTCGTTGCCCTCCCATGGTACTCGCAGCCTTATCATGAAGTACTCGGACGCCAGCTGCCGAATCAGACGGAGGGCACATGCCGAACAGTCTATCTCCCCCGTCCGAGCACATCACCAATCGTAGACGCCACCCCGCCCTTGGCATCGGCATACGGATTGTACGTCTGCTGGAGGGCGGCACGTACGGCGGATGCATAGTCAGCTGCCACACGATCTGACAGAGGTCTGCTGGCTGCGCCCCCCCTTCCACGCCTCCTCGACACGTCTGGCCCCGACGGACTGGACGTATATCGTGCCTGTATGTCGCGCTTGCCGAGAGTTTGAGGGTGAGACGCCCGCATGCCCGTTGACGTGTTATCCAGCCCATGGTCGGCCCCGCTGTTGATAACAACTCGCCTCTGTTGCCCCGTCCGAGGCGAGCACCCGACCGTTGATGCTGACTGCGGGGTGTGGGGGCTGGATGGGGGGATTCGATGAAGATGTGGATGTGTCCGGCCGCTGGTCGGCGCTCCTGCTGGCTTCCCCTCCCCCGATGCCCGTCTCCCTCCCTCCCTCACCCATCCCAGCCATCTGAGGACGGAAGAGCACACATCTTGGGGTGAGCAGTGGATGACCGTGACGACGATGCTGTTGATGGGGTCAAATCGGCCGGTGCGGGGAGGATGGGTGCGAGTCTGCTGATAGGAGGGGAGCGTGTGGCCGCCGTGGCAATTCCCCTCAGCCTGTACGCACACACAAAGGACACATAGAGGATGAATGCACGCCCGTGGGAGCAGCTGCAGTCCCACTTACACGCAGCCGAGCCATACTGAAGTCAGCCTCTCCTCTTGCATCTCAGCCGCTCGCTCAGAAGACTGATCACTTGGTCGCGCATAGATGGGGTGGGACCATTGCGGCGATGCAAGGCCCTCTTCGCACCAGAACTGATCACGCACAGACAATAGGGCACAGACACACGTGCCAGTGCTGGTAGTGGTACTTGCCGGCGATGCGGATGAGCTTGGGAAGCTGGCCGTTCTCGTAGATGTAACCGGCAAGGGCGCCTGCGTAGCCCTTCTCGGCAGTCTGATGCTCTGGCAGCGCATCGAAGACAGCCTTGTGAGTGTAGTAGATGTGCGGGCACACACAGACGCACACACACAGGATGAATGAAGAAAGCCTCGTGGCAAACAAAGATGCAACCGCCGAATTTGACGTACAGGGTGATCAGCCGCCGGCGCCACCCTGCTGGCTTCGGGACCTTGCTGAGCACCTGAAGCCCCATGGACGAGGCGCTCGGAACCACGCTCCTCTCCCTAGTTCAGGGTTAGAGCAAGTGCGTGAAAGCGACCAGAGAAAGTGGGGAAGGAAGACCGCTGCATGCTGGGGAAGGAAGACCCATCGAGCCAGCACTAGACAAAATCCTTCTCGTCAAGAGACCTTGGCTCCCCCTCGACGGAATGACGACAATCGCCCAGCTTGTAAGTATTGGGGTGACGCGTGACGAGATGCTGGCCGTCAACCAGGCGGTCAGGAGCGCCTTCGAAACCGAAGCCGAGCAGGAGAAGTACGTTCGTTTCATCAGCGGCGAGGCGACCCACTACATCTCCCTGCTGCCCCATGCTGAAGCTGGGGGGCCTGGCGCGACCGCCAAGATCCGCTTGTATTTGGCAGGCTGTCAGGCTACTGGTAAGGCCAACAAGTAGCTCCCTGTTGTGTGAAACTGACGCCCCATGCTGCTTCTCTCTGTTTGCGTGTTGTGCCGTAGAACAGAAGGCAGTGGACCGGAGCACGGCACAGAAGATACTGAACAGGAGCAACACGACGGCCTTAAGGCAGTATGCCAGCTCTTCCACGTGCTCTTCTCTTGGGCCCGCCTCGCCGCGTTCGCCATCGCCTACTACATCCATCAGGGGGATGACCAGCACAATATTCTCCTGCTTTCGTTTCTTCGCAACGCCATCATTGCCCCCTTCACGGATAAGACCGTCGTCGAGTACTTCGCCACCACCAGATGCGGACACGCCTGAAACTTCATCTGTTGGCTCATCGGAGCTGGCAACATCAGAGGAGGGGGCACTCATCAGTATCAGAGAACTCCCCACTAAGACTGACGGGTGGGCGAATAAAGACCGACAGCTGCGTGCCATCCGTGTATGTATGTGTATGCGTGTTTGTGCATGACATGATCAGCTTGTTTGGAGGAGTGGAGGGCGGGTTCCGCCAGCGCAAGAAGCCGGGCAGTGGATAGACGGACCGAGTGGTTGGGATTCTTTCTTTGCATGCCTCAGTGATCGCGGTCTGTGGCGGCGGCTTAAGGCAGATGGATTGATGGATGTATGGTGTGTTTCTATGTGTGTATGTATGTGCAATACGAGACGGGGAGAGGGTGAGGGGAAGACAGCCACGATTCATCTAATCGGTCTCATTCTATCGACGGCGACAAGCAAACTTCGTACTTTGCCTCTTGGCAGGCAACTTAGCTGCGACACGGAAACACGGAGTCCATCTGTCTGACTCAGAATGAATGCAATCTATATGACTAGTTGGCTACATTCGCCGACACACGCACACCGGCACCAGCATCGTGTTGCTGTGTACCATGCACATAGCCTGAGGGATCAGCCAACACCTCAGCCCTTTCTGACGATTGCTGCGAGTCAGCCATGAGTTGGTGCATCCTGGCCCTCGCCTGCTGCGCCAGCTGGACCAACAGCCTGTAGCCCACCGCCGTGCGTGTGTCGTCATAGTCAGCGTCAGGCGACCCCTCATCGATCAGACGAAGCGTGTACATCAGCTGCCCGCAGTACTGCACACACACACACAAACACACGCGCACACGAGACGGACATCGTTCAGCGTCCACAGAATGAAGGCCATCCGTGCGTATGGATCCCCCGACTTCTCACCTTCTGATCTCCGTCGGCCACATGTCTGCTGAGGTGGTCGTAGAAGCGATCGACCAGTTCATCCAGCAACGCGGCTGCTGTGGCCTCCCGTCGTCCTTTCTGTGTCTGTCTGGCGCCCATCATCTCAGCGCATCCCGTGAAGACACCGAGCAGCGCCCACCGATCGGCGCTTTCGAGACACAGGAGCGGCAGAGAGGCCCGCTGGTGGCGGTCGGGAGGCGAGATAGACAGACGCTGAGACACACAGAATGGAGGGAACATCGATAATGAGTGGATGGCGGTTTGCTGTGTCGGTTCGCACCTGTGTGATGAGGTCGAATATGCGCCACCTTGACCGCTGGAGTGAGGCGGTTTTAGCCACAGCCGGTTGGCGCAGCGCCCACAACACATCTGCACCACGTCATATATGCAAACATACAGGGGCATCACGGACGCACGCAGCCATTTCTCATCGATTTGCTGGCTCACCGTCGGTCTCTCCGGCTGATAGGGAGGGCATTAGAGTGAGAGCGACAGACGACGCCTCATCTGCAGACATCAGACAGAGAGGGAGATGCTACACAAACTCCAATTTTGCAGCGAGGGTCTTGCCCTTACCTCTGGTCTGCAGCAGCCTCTCCAGCAGCATGACGCCATTCGATGGCCCATGGGAAGACGGCCCACCAGCCCTCACTACCGGCAGCTGCATTGATCCATAACAGAGGGAAGACAGCAATGAACATCTCGCTTTTGCCCACCCACACCACCTTTTCGACTAACCTTGACGAGCGAGCAAAACAAGGTCGCATAGGTCTTGCCGTTGATGCCCTTCTCCCAGACTCTCCCCGCCAGCACGTCCACCAGTAAACCCACACACCCATTGACCATCACACCCCACCTGCCAGGACTCGTCCCCGCCTCCTCCTCCATCACAACGCGCCCATGCACGTTGCTCAAGAGCGCCGCCACCGACGCAAGTGTCTGTAATTGTGCAGGGGAGAGGGAGGGAAGGCGTGTGAGGGCCGCCAGGTGCGGCGAGAGCAGCCGGTCGATGATAAAGCTCCATAGAGGGTAGCCCACAAGCGCCGGCTCACTGGCGAAGGCGATGGCCTGGAGCACCCACATGCCACTGGCCGTGAGGGAAGCCTCGGGAAGCGTCCATTTGTCGTGTGGCAGCATCATCGTCCGAGCGGCCAGCCTCTCCACCACACCTCTGATCGACCCATCAAGACGCCCACTGCACTTGGCCAGCCCGTTGACGATGCAGCAGAGGTGCCGCACATCGCACTGGTGGATGATGCTCCCCTGCGCAACGGGCCGGCTCGACAGAAAGGCCACCAGGCGCCCAAGCAGCTGACTCGCGCCTTCATGCTCATGCTCATGGTGGCCTCCCTCCCTCTCCATCAGCACCCCCAACACGTGGCTCACGTTGGCCAGGTCTTGCGCAGACAGGCCGGCAAGAGCTCTCGTGTCACGGTTCGCGAGGTCGCGGCAGAGCAGGTCGAGAAAGGGGTAGGCCGACTGCGTGTGGGCGGGAGAGCCGTAGCAGCCCTCATCTGACAGCACCCTCGTCATGGCATTGGCAAGGATGATGACGCTCGCCGATGGCAGGGACGAGAGGGAGGGGGTGAGCCGCTGCATTAGAGAGGCCGTCAGCTGCTCGAGTGACGCTCGCACATCTCCCTTGGCAGGTAGGGACAGCCACCATCGTGTCGCCGCATTATAAAACGCCACCAACTCATGGTTGTTCCGGAACCTCCCGCCGTTCAGCAGCTCCATGGCCCGTCCAAGCAAGTCCACACCCATCTCTTTCAGCACAGCAGCCCTCGATTCATCGCACTGCTCCATGGCTTGCCCGACAGACCCCATCAGCAGAGCCACATCTTGCGAGTTGAGATCCGTCGATGAGACAGAGCCGGCGAAATGAGCCACCAAGGCAGACAGGCATGACGCATGACGGCAGTCGTCACACGATGGCCGGGCATCCATCTTGCCCCACCCATTGAGAAGCAGCGCGATAGTCTTGCCGTCAAAGTCGCCGAGTGGACCAGTCGCGCGTGCCCGAGCCGCCCTGCACAGCGGCGAGAGGGACGGCTGCAAGGGGAAATAATTCAGCTGAGCCCAGGCATTCACCGTCATGGCCAGATCTTGGGCACTCACTCCACAGTGACCCCGCTGCAGAGAATGGCTGTCCTCAATGAGTGTCACCATCTGCCTCTCCAGCCTTCTCATGACATCTCCTTCAGCCCGTCTGGCCCTTGCAAAGGCATTGCAGGTCATGGCGACGGCCTTGCCGTCATACTGCCGCACCACACCGTCAGTCAGCGCCGCAGCCGCCCGTGCCCAGAAGGATGAGTCCCGACAGCCGGCCTTGGCAACATGATGCAGCACGAACCCGCCGGTGTGCGACGTCTGCAGATGGGTCAGCACTCGCTCCAAAACCTCATGCGGGACAGCTGCCTCGCTGATGGTTGATCTGCCCTGGAAGTGGATGAGCAGCTTCACCAGCTGGGAGAAGTCAAGAGAGGAGGGCGCAGAGGGGACCATATTGGACTCGTACACACAAAACCTCCCCAAGTTGGCGGTTCTGCCCGGGGCGTTAATGCGAGCTTCCGTGAAACCGGAGAGAGCAGTTGGGAGAGGGAGCCAACTTTTCCCTCCTTTTCCTTCCTTCTCTCCTCCTCCGGTGAAGGAAATTACTCACAAGCCGCTACCCGCGTCGCCAGATCCAACTTCGCACTTTCCCATCAGCCCCACTCAGCCTTCATCAGCTTTCCCAAGCCTTCCTCTCACGTACCTGAGTATCAGCTACTCGCTCGCTTCCAACACCCGCGGACAGACAAGTGGTGATGAAGATGGCACGCGCGCTGGTTGGTGTACTGGTGATGGCGGTGGCTGCCGTGGCGGGCCCGGAGACCAACGGCCAATACGAACAGAAGCACCTCCCCTATGACTTCGATTTCCTGGAACCCGCAATCGACACCAAGACGGTGAGCACGTACACTCACATGTGGGCTGTTGATGCGTGGAAGCGGGTGTGTGACTGTGTGGATGTGTATCTGTGTGATCAGATGTTTGTCCATTGGAGTACGCACTATGCTGGCTACGTGAGGAACATCAACCTTGTGGTGGCTGAGGATGAGAACGCCTCTGCCATCGTGGATAAACCACTCGAGATTATCCAGAGGGACATCACGACTCTCGGCCCATTTGCCAGGAACAACGCCGGAGGCGCTTACAACCACGGTGAGATGGTCTGCCACCATATGCATGATGACGTTTGTCGCTCTATCCCTCTGAACGTACCAGGTTTCTTTTGGACCATCCTCACCTCGGTTTCCTCGTCTTCACAGATGAAGCCATCCCCCGCTCTCCAGGCGGCCATTGACAAGGTGCGTCCGCACACAAAAAGGGGGTCATCTCGACACACATGTGATCATGCCTCTTGGTGTCTGTGCCGGCAGGCATTCGGCTCGTTCGACGCCATGAAAGAGTCCTTCAGTACGGCGGCCAAGAGCGTGTTCGGCAGCGGGTGGGCCTGGCTGGCCGTCAAGGACGGTGAGCTGTTCGTCGTCTCAACCGCGAACCAGAACAACCCGCTGATGAAGGGCGTCAATGGCCGGCAGGAGGTCCTCATCCCCATCCTGGGGCTGGACGTCTGGGAACACGCATGTGAGCCGCCGCAATGCACCCAAGGCCATCCGCCTGATGGGCATCTGTCTGTCGTGGCTGTGTCCTGTGTTATGCTCCAGACTACCTCAAGTACCAGAATCGGCGGGCCGAGTACATCGATGCCTTCTGGGGCATCGTCAATTGGGACAAAGTCAGTCAGTACTTCGAGGAGTTTGCGAGCAAGGGCAAGCCAGTGCCCGTCTGAGCGTGTGAATGTAGGGGGCAAAAGGGGAGTGAGTGAGTCAGGGAGGGGGCGACTTTCTTGTACATAGCTCTGTCTGCTGTGGACTGTGGTTTTTGCACACTGGGGGGCGGAGGGGCCAAGCTCCTCGCTCTCGCTCTCTCTCTCTCCATCCCTCCCCCTCTGTCTGTCTCTGTTTTTGCGTGTGAGTGTGCGTGTGCGGTGTCTGTATGCTGCGTGTGGTGTGGTGTGGCGGGGTAGAAGATTTAGGTAGACATCAACGCAACGATTGTCCAAAGCGCCTACGTCTCCCTGCCTGTCTTGCCTCCCTCTGCCTGTCTGCATGGATGCAGTCTTGATGGGTGGGTGGATGGATCAATGCATCCGGTGCAGTGCATTCCATCGCGTGCACCATTCATCAGAAGGTGTTTTTCAAGCCAGCTGGCCGTGTTTGCAAATGGCCGGCCGGCTTTGTTGTAGTAGCCTGCAGCCTTGCCTGTCTGTCTGCCCGACCGCCCCTGTGCGTCATGTGAATGTAGAGTTTTCGCCTTGTTTGTCACCGATTGTGCGCGTGACGTTTTGTGTCAAGATGTGCCTCCGTGATGCCTGCCCGATGTCTGTGCTGAGCTGCGAGTTGGTTGGCCTGCCTGGAGCACCACCGAGTGAGCTGGTTGCGACGATTTACTGTCACCCGACTGCCTCCTGCCCACACAATACAGACACACAGAGAAGACACACACACGCGCACACGCACACGCCGCCGACTCTTTTATAACGCCTGTGTACATGATCATGCTGCATGCAACGCCATGTCTGTCTGTGTGGGTGTCGGTGTGTGTGCATTGATTGCATTCACGCTGTCTGTGTATAGGGTAGGATAGGTGCATGTGATAACATGTTTGGACGCACGAATGGACACCGTATGGATAGGACAGCCACATGTGCAGTTCGTGCAAGCGCCTCGAAGAGATCTTTCCGTCTCCTTCCCGTCTCACCACCCGGACCCCCACCAGCCCCCACTGACAAAACACTCCCAAAGAACACTCCGCAAGTCTGTTCTCAACGGACCCAGACCATCCATCGATGTCCCAAGCTCGGTGCAATTCCATCCTGCTGGCCGCCCGGCGCAGCACATCGGAGGCGCAGCACAACGATGAAGGGGCCAAGAAGGTCAAAGAGGCTCGGCGGGGAGGGGAATCCTTTGTCAGCGGCGGGAGTGTCATGCTCACGCAAACAAGCGCCATCTCTGAGGCGGTGTGGAATCTTTCCAACAGGAACGCACTCGCAGAAGGATGCAATGCGGTAAGGAAGCTGAGCAATGAATGCCATTCTCGACTCGTATTCCACTCTCTTCCCCCGCGTCTGTCTGGTCATTCAGCTTTGCAAGGCCCTGCGTCCCGAGACCGTCACAGCGCCACGCGCACAAAAGTCGCTCACTGGCAGAGTGATGCACCAGCCAGAGAGGCTGAGGGCCCAGCCCCAGGAGCGTCGTGTGTCTGTGATGCCCTTCGAGTCTCTGCGGGGCCTGAGCGGCGCATCCTACGCCGTCTTCCTGAAGGCCGTGTCTCTGCTCAGACACACGTTCGCCTTGAGAGAACAACGGCCGGGTGTCTTGGCCCAGGTGGGTAGGCCATGGATGGGAGAGAGGCAGCTGAATTGGTGTCTGTGTGTGTGTGTGTGTGACGGTGGTGGTCTGTCAGATGTTGAGGGATGCGTGTCGCATCCTGTATTGCCCCCCTCCGCCGGCCGTCCCAAGGGCTGCAGCCACCAAGAAGACACCCACTGTCGCTGCCAACCCTGACGGTGGTGAGCCAGCAGCAGCAGCAGCAGCACCCAGGGAAGAGCCCAAGGGCAAAGTGCTGCTCGACAACGACGCCCTGAGTGAGTGAGTGAGTGAGTGGATGGACACACACCGATTGCGTCCGTCCGTAAGGATACGTACAGCAATTAATACGTGTGCAGGGGATTCGTTTGTGCTGTGTCTGAGGGGATCCTGCACGATTGAGCATCTGCGCGACCCGTCTGTGCCCAAGTCCCCCTCCCCGCCCTCATCGCCTGTGCGCAAGAGCATTCGGCGTCGGTCGACCAAATTCATCGACATGCCCTCACTCTCCAGCTCAAGCTCATCGGCTGCTTCATCCTCATACGAGGGTCAGTCATAGTCTGTCGTCCCCAAGAGCCTTGGACACATGTCTCTCTCTCTTCTTCTCTGTCTCTTCGCCGTGTGTGTGTTTGGTGAGGTGTAGGTGATGAGGGTGGCGGTCATGAGAGGCGCCGTAGCAGCACAGCGAGTGGGTGGGCCAAGCTGCGAAGACACCAGTCCTTCTGCGCCACAGAAGGCGCTGGCAGGGAGGGAGCGGCGGGCAAGAGGAAGTACCTCATCATGAGACTGCACACAGGTAAGTAGTACAGACACGAGACACACACGATCGACCAGACCACACGTGTGTGTGTAATGCATTGACAGGCGAGTCGCGTGATTTTGAAACCATGCAGAATTCCCTCAAGGACAGGGGGGCTCTGACTGCCGACACCGTCGGCAGGGAGTGTGTGCTGCTCATCCTATCCAAAGAGGCCTGCAAGACCGCCCATTTCGTGCGTGAGACACAGACAGATATCCTTCGTCATATATGAGACAGACAGACATGCAGTGAGTGAGTGAGTGTCCTTGTCACGTCTGTTGTGCAGGCTGCCGGGGTGCGGGAGTTCGAGAGCAATGTGGATGCCTTACGGTCACTGTTGCCCAGCGCGTCTGACTTGCCGGCCCACCGCATGGAAATGATCGCACTCACCCTCACCAGACGAGTGAGCAGACAACGCAGACAGACACATGACATTCATGAATAATGAATGCACAACGCATTTATGTTCCCGCATTCAGCGATTCCGGAAGGGCGACGTCATCACGCACGCCTCCCACCCACTGCTTGACGCTCGTGCAGACGACACCACTCACACGACCCCAGCAAGCCCAGCGTCAGGAGGCGTGATAGCCTCAGGCGAGGCGACCTTTCTCTACACGTACAGGCACACCAGACCCGCAACAACCTCACAGACACATAGACCCACCACTCACGACGCGAAAGACACTGGCCAACAGCGGCAGCAGGGTGAGGGAGAGGGAGAGAGCGCGCCATCGTCACCCCTCTTTCACAACATGCTGGCGCACCCCATGGCCGTGGAGCAGCTGGCAGAGATGGAGGGGAGGGGCAGGCAGGGGCGACCAGGCAGCCAAGAGGAACACCAGAAGCAACAGCAGGAGCAGCCGCCCCCACTGCCGCCCTCTCTGAGCACCGAGAAATCGCTCAGCCGCGCGCCGTCATTTCACTCACAGAGTGAGCAGTGACGAGACACCTGTGTGCCCATGCTCTTTGGCGGTGTATATGGCTGGCTGGCTGGTTGCAGCCAGTGTGAGTGCCGCTGCGTTTGCCGATCGGACTTCGCTGTCTCGGACCAGCACCCCGCCGCCAGAGACAGACAAGGACAAAGGCGCCGGCCCCTCACCAAACCTTCGAGGCGGGGAACCTTCCGACCCGCAGAAGGTGAGACGACGACACAGCCACAGAGAACAAACCAAACGCATGACTTGTGTTTGTTACTCTGTGTGGGCAGCAACCCTCCACCGAGAGACCCGATGCGGCACCCGCACAGCAGCCAGTACTTCCGCCCCCCCACCTGCAGGCCTGGTGGCATACAGCCCATCCGAAGTGGCGGTCCGTCCAGCTCTCCCTCTGCACAACACTCGACGGCCTGCAACTCACTGAGACACAAGACCAAGAGCAGCAAGAGCAGCTTCCTGCACGGCCAAAAGGCAAGAAGGACAGGAGAGCCCCTCCAACTGCGGTGATCGACCTGCCTCCTGGCCGATCCCGGCTTGCAAGGACGCTCTACATCGATGGCCTGGTGCCTGGAGGGGTTGCGGGCAAACCGGGAACAGGGAAACAGGCGAGAGGCAGCGATGACGATAGCAAACAAGAGACACAGGTGGGTGAGATATATGCAAAGATATATGGGCAGCATGCATATTGTCAGTCATGTGTGATAGATGTATTGCCGGGATGTCGTGTGGGTGGATGTAGAGCACAGCGCTTCAGCTGCAGGTTTCACACTTTGAAGAGGCGCAGCAAGACAAGAGGGCTGAGAAACTGCACCGGCTGCACCAGCTGAGGAAAGGCGCTCGCGAGGCAGCCGGCCCGCGCAACATGGCATACCTCTCGAGGCCTCTCACCGCATCAGTGGCGGCACGCATACGCACAGTCAGCAGAGAACGACACACAGACAGCTGCACCGCACCAACAACAAGATGATATTCTTTCAGCGTTCCTCTGCTGAGACATGGTGTATGGAGCTGCCGCTGTGCACAGCGACATCAGGGGACTGGGTGGGCGTGTCTTCGCTGCTCCAGGGCGACAGAGAGCCCTTCACGGTGCGTGCAGCCACCGATGAGGTGGTCGTCTTTGCCGTGGCTGTCGGCAGAGAGGAGATCTCCACACGATGGCCCGGCACAATGGTCGCTGGTGCGTGAGCAGGGGAATGGATGGATGCACTCATCCATGGACACAGGTGGGTCGGTTGCAGGCATTCTGGAGGCGTATGGTGCGATGGAGGAGTGGATCATCGGAGAGAGACTACCTGCCGCCATACAAGAACAGGTCAGGTCAGCGTGTGGGGTATCACGCTGTGCTGTGTCTCCACGTTGATGGCCGATACATCCATCTATGTCTCGCATTCTCCCCTCCTGGCAGTGGTCGTTGGTGTCCACTCAGTCAGACTCGGCCGACCTCCATCGCCAAACACTCGTGCAGACGTCACAAAGGCAAGACACACACGCAAGAATGACCAGCACCGGGAGGCCCCAACGATGTCTGCCTTTCCCTCACTCGCAGGCTGCGTGGCTTTGAGGACGACATAGGCTCTGCAAAGTCCAAGATCCCTGTGCCCATCCCGCCGCACACTCCCGCACTGCTCACATCAACCGCCAAACACAGACGAGGGCCACACATTTCTGCAGCCGGCAGCAAGAAGGATGAGTCGGCGTCGGCTGAGGACAAGACAGAAGAGGGACATGGCAAAGGAGTGGTGCATCATCCGCCGGGCTGGGGTGCGTTTGAGCCCGGGCGGGTGAGGACCGAGCAGGGGTGGGCTGATGGTGTCATGCGCGCGAGGAGGGAGTTGACTGAGGCGTCGCAGAGGCTGTGGCAGGAGGTGCTGTGCACTGCCTCTGGCCCGTACAGCGCTGCGCATTGGCTGGTAAGCCAGAATGGTGGCTTTGGCTTCACCCCTCTGTCGACTCCCACGCCCCCTCCCCCTTCGCTCATGCGGCCGCCCCCTCTCACTGCTCGCTCTCTTGGCCCATCTGAACGGTCGATGCAGGGGCATCGGCATCGGCATTTGTGGATTGATGGCTGGACAGAGAGGGGGAGACATGGAGTGATGTGTACCAAATAAGGCTGAAGTGGATGGTGTCGGTCGATTGTGTGCAACATGTTGGCCTCTTTGTCGGATGCTTGATTCGTGAGAATGGGAGTGCTCTTTCTCGTTGTAGTGTTCCATGCCTGTGTGGACGCGACGATTCCTGACGATGAATTACTACGTTTGAACTGCATGTGTTTGGTGGGCGACTTTGTGTGAATGCATCATGCATTCAGTTCAATGCGTCACACACGAGTCAGCCAGCCAGTCCACCACTGTCTGTCTGTACACAGAAGCATCGCTTTGCAGTGCTGCTCACATCCATCCATCCATCCTTCCATCTGTCCACAGACGCATACACACGTCCAAGGGAGACACACCCACGCCCACACACATTCATTAAAGCAGCCGCTGAGGCATTCGCTCAGCTGGGGAGGGGAGCCAGAGGCAGGGCAGCCAGCTCGACGATTGCATCACCCGGTCCCGACGGCCCGCTCTGGCTGTTCTAGCAGCTGCATGCTCCTTGGCACCGCCGCATTGATGGGCGTCATGGCCATGGAGCTACTGTTGTTGTGCTGCTGGCCGCTCCCCTGCATCTGCTGATCCATCGCGTTAACTGTGTGATGAGCACGATGGCGGCCTCCATCCTCTCCACTCGCCATCGCCTCCAATGCGCAATCACATACCCACACCGATGAATCGCGACGCTTCGATTTTAGAGCAGAGCTTTCTTTGGGCGTCGGAAGGCATCAAACACGGCTCCGAAGGAAACGCACTCGACAACTCAAAAGCTCGCAAGCGATCACGGAGAGGGAGAAGGAAAAGAGGCAGATAGAGTGAGGCAGCTGGTGCAGGAGGCCTCAGCAGGTGAAGATCTGTCACCAAAATGCGACTCTGTCGTCGATTATGTGGTCAAGTGACGCTGTCGAAGGAGCGACTGGGTGCGGCGGGCGCACAAGGACAGAGAGGCAGACAGGGAAGATCAGCTGAAGAATGCATCCACAATCATCGCTCTGTTCTTTCCTCTGTGTCGTCACTGAGCAGATCAGCTGCTCGAGTCGGAGATCACGCACTTTGCGCTCAAGAGGCAAGACCCCGTCACCCTCAGGAAGATCCTCAGCGTCAAGTGAGTCAGCCACACAGACAGACAGACAGACAGACAGACAGCCAGACAGCCGCACTCCCTCATGTGGTGATGTGTGTGTCAGGTCTGTGTGGGTGGTTGCTGACTTCATCTCTCATGAGTTGCCTGTCCGGTTCGCCTCGCGCATCAAGCAGCTCGAGGCGCTGCCGACGCACCCCGACGTCATGTTCATCTCCCGTGTGCGGTCCATCTATGCCGAATCGTTCAAGCAGCTCAGGATGGTGCAGCCCACGCAGCGAGAGGACTTCACCAAGGTGCTGACCAACCTCAAGAAGCGACACTCGAGCGTCGTGCCGCTCCTCATCACTGGTCGGCACACACACGACTGAGGGAGGGGAGGCAGGGAGAGAAAAAGCTTCACGGTCTGTGGTCTGTTCCGTGTGTGTGTTGGTGCAGGTATTCGGCTTCTGAAGGAAAAATTCCCCGAACAGCTGGTGAGACAACAGACAACAGAGAGCAACCAGCGGCTGGGCAACACACACACCTGGTAGAGTTCCTTTCTGCCAGACTGAGGAGTTCCTGAATGACTTTCTGAACAAGTTCTTTCTGTCGCGTATCGGCACTGAGATGCTCACGAGTCAGTTCCTGGCCGGCGCACACGGCAAGGGCGACGGCATCATCGACCGCGTGTGCGACCCTGACGCCGTCATTCGCAGAGCCGCCAAAGGTGGTCGACAGATGAACATATGTGGGTGTCGATTGGATGCCTGGATGTGTGTGTGTGTGTGTGTGTGTCGGTGGTGTGTGTGTGAGGTGCAGATGCTGAGCGTCTGTGCTATGCGCACTACGGCTGCTGCCCCCCTGTGCAGGTCAGGTGGGCTGGGCAAAGGACGCCGAAAAAAAGAAGAACAGACAATCGTGCTGGCTCTCACCCGCCTCACCCACCCTCATGCACCTCCATTCATTTCATTCTGTGTCAGGTATGGAATCGCGGCGTCGATCGGTGGCCATACATCCCCCAATACCTGTACTACATCTTATTCGAACTGTTCAAGGTTCAGAAAATCAGTGCAGCAGAACACAGACTGTGCACCTGACCTCGCTTGCTGACATCCATCCATCCATGTGTCCGTGTGCCTTCTCTCCTCCCCTTTGTGTTCTGTGTGGCAGAATTCGATGCGAGCGGTGGTCGAGAAGGCCCAGCAGTCGGACAACCACCACGCCGTGCTTCCCATCGACAACGAGCTGCACCTGGTGTCCTTCGCTCCCGACGTTCCCCAGCCGCCCTCCGCCCCCTTCTCAGGCAATCCCACCAGCCCGTACGGCCCCCTCCACCAACACCCACCTGACCACCCCTCGCTCGTCTATCCCGTCACCATATCACTCGACGACGAATCGCCGGAGGGCACACAGCGGACGTTCCCATCCTCTCCCCAGCCATCGCGGCCCTACACGTGTCGCAACGAGACGTCTCAGCCAGCGGATGGGTACGGCAGCAGCGACGGCAGGTCATCTGGAGGGCCGGGGACGATGGCGCCCGCGACGGTGACGGCCACGTCGTTGCCTGCATTTGGTGGTGGCGGGAGCGGTGGGGGTCAGCGAGTGTGTCAGGGGTCCCATTCGATCCGTGTCGACACTGGTGCTGAGGTGGAGCTGCCGCCGGTGCAGGTCATACTCAGCGGCGACAACCACCAAGTGGCCATCAAGGTGAAAGGGATGGATCAGCGGAGGGGAGAGAGAGATAAACGATTGCATTATAATGTGCGGCTTGACTGCAGATAGCCGATGAGGGAGGAGGCATCGCACGGGAGGCCGAATCGAAGATATGGTGAGCAGAGGGTAGGGAGGGTGGCACGCAAGGCACCCACCCTGCTACACGCCTTAATTGTCTGTGGTGTGTGTTGATCAGGTCCTACTTGTACACGACAGCAAAGCCTATCGGAGAGCCGTCCAATGAACAAGACTCGCAAGTCAAAAGTAAGTAAACCAACATTAATTGGAGAAGGAAGACACACCAAGCCAAAGCGCAGAGACTGATGTTGCCGTTTCCTTTCTCCTTTGTCCGTACCGTTCAGACATGCCCCACGCCCCCCACACGGGCCCCTTTGGCTATCTCGACCGATCGCAAAGAAACGGTCAGGGCAGATAGATGCCCTCACCAACACTGACTGACTGACTGGTCCATGCCTCTCTGTGTCGCGTCCTTAGGTTTGCGTCCTGGCAGCTCCCCCGATGCGTCCAAGCCATCCATCTCACCATTGGCCGGCTTCGGCTGCGGTCTCCCTCTCTCCAGGCTCTATGCACAGTACCTCGGCGGGTCGCTCAAGGTCAGACAGACAGACAGACAGGGAAACGATTGGGGGAGGAATGGACGAGTTGGTATCCTGTGTATTTGCACGTGCATTGATGCAGGTCGTGTCGATGCCTCGGTGGGGAACGGACGCGTACCTCTTCCTCTCAAAGATCGGCGACATCCAGGTCAGCACAGAGCAGAATAGGAGAGAATCCGGGAGTGAGTTGCCCATCCATCCATTCATTTGTCTGTGTGTGTGTCCGTGTCATCCATCAGGAGCGTGTGCCTCCAGGGTGGAGCGTGCCACTTGCGTGGCAGTCGGCTGAGCGGCAGAGGGCCGGCGGGTCGGGCCTGCTCGATGTGGGCGACATCCCTACGCAAGAGGACCAGGCCAGCCAACACTATCCCCCATTCGCTCTCTGAGTGCAGAAATTAGTGGCTACTCGATGGATGTGGCTGCTCGACGGGCAGGAGAGCCCAGCCTGCTGCTCGGCAGCATGGTGTAAGTAGGCTAGGCTTGTGTAACTCGTACGTCGCTAGAGCGTGTGCATTGTTTGTATGTATAGCTAGTACTTGACAGAAAGACAGACTGACGAGCCAGCCGTGGGTCGGTGGGTGTACAAAGCGTGTGGATGCTTCGTATTCGTCGGGCTCTTCATCCGGCCGCCTACTATAGGGACTGTATCCTCAACTCTCCTCTTTCATCCGTATGTGTGTCGGCCTGTGTGTGTGTTTCTGTTATTGACCACGCCCAGCCCTCTTGTCCTTCAAGAGCAAGAGGGGTTGGACCTGGTCAACTTCGATACACACGCAGACAGGCACCTGATAGATAAGACCGGGACACGTGCAAGAAAGGCGGGTACACGTGATCTCAGTCAGTCCACTGGTGTCAAGTGTTGGTGGCTGATCGAAGAAGACAAGTAAAGTCGGATCTTGTGCATGTACCATCATGAGCTTCAGCATTGTCGTGCCAATGAGTTCGATCCTCCTTCCCTCCCATCTGCGAGCTTTTCCTTCGTAAGCAGCGAAGATGCAGCATCTGGAGAGCTTGAAGGCTGTGGATCACCGCAAGCTTGCCGACTTCATCGTCACATCGGCAACTCTTGCCGCATCAACGTCATCCCCGCCCTCGCCGCTCCTCTGGCGCAGCTACGCCGCGCGGGCTGTCCAAGTGGCCAATGAATTCACGCCAGGCGACCTCACGAGGATCCTCACAGCCCTCGGCAAGGTGCCCTTTCGTCACCCGCCTGACCTGCTGTCGGCTCTGAGTACCAACATCCGTGACAATCTGACTGATCTTGACAAACAAACCAAGTTTGATCTGACCAAGCTGTCAATCTGCCTGAATGCCTTCGCCCGCCTGAAGCATCGCGACAATGATCTACTGCTCGTCGTCTCGCGCTATCTGCGGAACACACTGGAGGCTCAACCAGGGGATCATCAGGCGCTCTCTCTTCTCGTCAACTCGCTGGCTCGATTCGACTATCGGGACCAGCCTTTACTGTCAGCTATAGCCGCCAAGATCAAGCCGGTTCTCTTTCGTCTGAATGCCCAGGATTTCGCCACGCTCTGCAACGCCTTCAGCAAGCTCGGCACGGCCAACGAGCGGTTCTTCCACGACGTGGCAACGGCGATGCAGGGGCACCTGTCCCTCTTTCCCGCAGCCGAGCTTGCAATGGTGGCCAACGCATATGCGCGAGCAGACATCCGCCACCTGCACCTGTTCCAGCTACTGTCGTCTCATAGCCAGCGGCGCATCGAGGAGTTCACGCCCCAGGGGGTGGTCATGATCGTCAGCGCCTTCTCTAAAGTGACTCTGCTGGACGATACGGCACTGCTGGAGTCCATTGCTGCCCGTGTGAGAAGGCTCTTTCGGTCGTCGCCGCCCAATGGCGGCTTCAAGATAGGCGAGCTGACCATGCTGGCCAACGGCTACGGCAACGTCCATCTGGGCGGGGCGTCGACACTGCCGCACGAGACTGTGGAAGAGGTGTTCACCTGCGTTGCTGATGCACTGCTGGCCGACCCTCTGAAGCTCAGGGGCCTCAGCGCCAAGAATCTCAGCATCCTATCGCGGGCGTTTGCGCGAGCAGGCATCAGCCAGCCCGACCTTTTCCGGCTGTTCATCGACCGCCTGGCGCAAGTAGCCGAGCAGATGAGTTTCAAGGACCTGGCTGACGTGGGCTATGCACTTGAACGATTCGACTTGCCGCCGACCAAGGCTGCTCAAGTGGTGTTTCTCAACCGTTTCTCCACACTCCTCCGGGAAAAGGAGGCGGAGAGCGATACCAGGTCGTTTGCGACTGTGCTGCTGGCCATGGCGAATCTGCAGATGGGGGGGCTTCACTTCTGCGAGACCGCCGTCGAGTACATCACCTCACAGCCGCCGCATTCTCGGATCGCTGACAGCAAGAAGACGCTGCCGGCCGCAGTGGTCGCCGCCCCGGGCGCGTCCATCAACCGTGGCTTCTCGTTGAGCGAGATGTCATCAATAGTCAAGGCCCTCCGGAAGTTTCGGCTATCCATGGGTCAGGAGGAGGGCGGGGAAGTGGCTGGCAGGATGGAGGGCATCTATCGAAAAGTGCTCATGCACTTGGCTCCAACACTGGCGCGTCAATCTGAGGAGCTGACACAAGACGGTACGCACGACGACCAGAGAGACGGAGAAGCGAAGAGAAGAATTGCGCGTCTCCCTTTCAGATCTGTCGATCGTCCTGTATTCGCTGACCCGTGCCCACGACCCCGACCGCCACATCACCCACCCCTCCCCCCTCCCCTTCCGCCCCCCATGGGTCGACGAGTCCATCCTCCTCCCCCTCGCACGCACAGCCGAGCGGCTCACACCAAGGCTCTCTGGCCGCAACCTAGCCCTCGTCATCGGTGCTCTCGGCACGCTGCCGCCCGAATACGAGTCGTGTTTGAGGTGCTTCAAAGGCATTCTGGATCGCCTGTGTGAGGGGGAGGTTATGAGTGGCTTGGAGATTGGCGCGCTGCAGGGTGCTGTGTTGATGTGTGGACTGAGGGGCTGGGGCGAAGCGATGCTGGGACGGCAGGGGATGCAACAGGTGGTCAACCGAGTGGGCAGACAGGTGTGCAGGAGCCTGCAGGAGTCGCCCGACGCCATGCGGCCCAGATTGGCAGCGGTAGGCGGGGGACTAGAGGGGGATGGTGCAGGGAAACCATGCACCATGTGTGCCTTGTTGCAGTTTTCGATGGACTGCTTCGCTGCTACGCAAGTACATGAAGAGAAATGGCTTCGGTCTCTCCTGGCCTACTCGGCTGTCCATGCCTCTTCTTTCACCCCTACAGTAAGCACCGCATGTTGGAAGTGCCCCCGCAGCTGCAATGAATGCTGTCTCTGGGTGCTGTGCTGCCTTTGCTTCTCCTGCAGGATGTGGCTGTAGTCCTCAGCAGCCTCGCCGTGATGCAGCTCCGCGACGCCCCCACTCTCCACTCGCTCACCCACCATGGCCCACCCGACCCACCAGACACCCTGGGGCCCAAACTGATGGAGTCTCTCTCCTCCCTCGATCACGCACTTCCAAAGTCATGGGCGGCGCCGGCCTCATCGATCCCTCACAAGAGCATCCCGACAGTGGCCTTTGGTCTGGCGCTCAGCAGACATGCTGGGGAAGCCATCTGCAGCAGTGAGGGGGGGTGTGAGAGCCCGTCGGTGCTGGCCGTGGCAGTGGCGTTGCTGGGTCGGTGTGCGGACACACTCTCGTGGGGCGTGGGGGGGTGGCCGTGGGAGAGGCGAGACACCGGAAGGCTGCAGCTGGCTGTCATGTTCTTCCATCTCGCTGGTGGGCAACGCAAAGGTGCTGCACGCACATGACTAATAGTTGGCCGTCTCGATCTTTCTGTTCAGGCTGGGACGTGTCCACGCGCTCCCCAGATGCGCCCGCTTCGGTGTTTCTCACCTGTCTGCCCCTCACCGTCCTTGTGTTCCTGTCCCGCCTTATCGACGTGGCCCCTGCACCGGAGGGCTATGCGGCAGTGCAGACGATGGTCGATGAGTGTGCGCCGTCAGCCGGCCGCACGAGAATGGAGAAGGTGCCGTGGGAGAGGGAGAGGGGTGATGTTGAGGATGGTGGAGAGATGATGCCAGGAGTGTCATCGAATGACGAGCTTCACTCGCCGATGCTCCAGGTAGATATGAGGCAGTCGCCAGACACACCGAGGGGGTAGGTAGAATAGTGTGTGTGGCCATGGGTGTGTTTCAGCGGTCTGTTCATGAAGCTTTGCGGATGGCAACTGAGGAGAGGCGGCGTGGTTTGACTTCGATGGCACACTGACCTGCGCTGCATGCAGGTCCTCTACACATGCTCTTGCCAATCGGTAGACCTACACTTACGGACAAACACGCACACATGTAGGCGACCTCACACACGGGCCAACGAGGATCATGGATCCCCAGCTGTCATGCTTTCTTCATCAAAGGTGCCGTCTGAGAGTGCTTTCGAGTGGCGGCGAGTCTGAGTGAGGTGTATGCGGTGTATAGGCCCGGTGGTCGGGAGATAGAAAACGTCATATGTGGGAATGGATGTGACTGGGAGTGGGTTTATGACGAAGATGTGTTGCCATTTTCGGTCGAATCAATGGTTGAAATCTCGTCCACAAGATCACCAGACCAGGCGAGTTAAGCGCGCAGCCGTTTCCCGAGCGTTGAGAATTCACACACACACACCTGAAGAGATGGAGCAGAGAAGTTCCCTGGCTATGCAGGGCGAGATTGTGGTACGAAACATTCATGCCGCCGCACTGTTGTCTCCTCTCATCTCATCTCAGCGCCATTCTCTGTGTGTGTAGACTTCCCTGTATGATTTCCCCACCAGGTCGGTGCTCAAGATACCCGACATCGACCCCGAGACCCTCCTGGAAGTTGGCGAAGGACAGATGATTGAGATTATTGATGTTGTTACGGACGATGATGATGACGCTGGTGAGGACGCGCCCGTGTGGTTCTATGCCGCCGTGTATGAAGAGAAGGACGAGAAGACCAAGGGCGCAAGGGAGCGGCGGCGAATGGGCCTCATTCCGGCCACATACACAACATACAAGGCGCCCCGATTCAGCAAGACGGCTGCCATCGAGCAGACGATAGACCTGGAGCCGCCAGACGTGAATGTGGGTGAGGGCACCGCCACTCAAGACCAGCAGAAGGAGACGCCAACAAGTGCCCCAGCTGTGTCTCCCAGTCCGGCAGCAGCTGCTGCTGCTTCCGTTCTGGTGGAATCCCCGGCCATATCCAGCCTCCCTGCAGACTCCCTCACGCCCGAGGCACCACTCAGCGAGCCCTTACAGACCGTTGCAGCTGATGGCCAGGAGGCCATGGCTGTGGCTCAGGAGGCTGTTGTTGCAGAGGAGAAGAAGGAGGCCATCGAGGTGCCTGAGCAGCAGGAAGATAAGCAGATTTTGGTGCTGCCGTCACCTGAGCAGACGGCAAAGGCGAAGGAGCTGCTCACTGGGGCCATGAAGGAGAATGAGGCACTCACAGAGGAGAAGAAACAGGTGGGTCCCCCAGAGGCGAGCAACGGACACCGGTCTGCCACACTTACCACGTTTTCCGTATCAGGAGCTGGAGTTTGCGCAGCAGCTGGGCGTCGAGTCGACATCCGCCTTCCAATGGATATACCCCTGCCTTCGCGACAAGTAATGAATGAGCTACACGAATATTGCCAACGTATCGTTTGTTTCCCTCACTAGGCCGCTGCCGCCTGGCTGGTACGAGGCACAGGACGCGGAGGGCAACTCCTACTTCTACCACCCGACCCTAGAACAGCCGAGGGCAGCTGAAGACGGGTCCATCTTGTATGTGTCTCCCGTCACATGGGACCACCCGTTCCTTCCGCTGGTCACCACTTTCACCGCTATACTCAACGAACTGGCGCAGCTGTGAGAGAAACGATCACAAATTGAGAAGCCCGCCTGAAACACGGCTTCCGTATTTCTGTTGTCGATTGTTTAACATGCAGGCCGCCTCAGTCGGCGATAGACGAGGCTCAGACGCTGATCGGTCAGAGTGCGGCACAGACGGGCCAGGCCATGACCAGCTGGGAGGGGCCGCTCACACTCGATGACGGCAGGACTGTCTGGAGGAACATAGACAACGGTAAGACAGAATATCCGTCATTTGTGGATCCTTGTCTGATGTGTGTGTGTGTGTGATTGGATGCAGGCGAAAGGAGCACCCTCGATCCCCGCCAGACGCTCGACTACCTCTATAAGCTCCAAAATGAGATACTCAGACGTACGTACACTACGCTTGGCCGTGTCCCACTTCCCCATCCTATCCCCCGTCTCATCAGGCTACTGCGCGTCCATGGAGAAAACGAGAGATGAGGAGCTCGCTGCGAGGGAGAGGGCCATGCAGGCCAAGGTGCACAATGCGGCCGTCAAGATCCAGACGCTCGTGCGGTGCCATAACGCGCGCAAGACCGTGGCTGTGCTGCGGCAGCGGGCCCTGACGGTGCTCGGGCTGCGCGGCGCTCTGTCTCAGCGACATATGCAGCACCGCACCAGCAAGACCACCATGGACAAACTGGCTCTCTGGCGAGAGAGGCGGGAGACGGCTGCACTCACGATACAGAGATTCATGAGGAGCAAGAGGGAAAGGTACGCACACAGAAAAGCACCGTGCAGTATTAGTGTGCTGTTCCCCTCCTTAGGCAGCGGCGTTTGGTTGTCTTGTGGCGGAACAAGTCAGTGAAGCGGCAGAAGCTCCGGAGCAAGTCCCCCGTGCTGGCAGCTCGTTTCATACAACGCACATGGAGGCAACACAGACAAAGGCAAGAGAGATGGACATATGCGCATGGCATTCGGTCGCTGGGCAGGTATCTCACGTGTCTTCTCTGCATGCTGCGCAGGCTGGTCGCCCATCGGCAGAGTGTGGTTTTCATCGAGTGGGCCAAGAACCAGGCCACACACGTGCCTCTTCCGCCCATCCCCGATGCTGCGCAAGATGAGCAGGAAGAAGCCCCTCCAATCGCCGAGGAAGCGCCAGAAGCCGAACGAAAAGAACAGAGCGAGGAGGAAGAGAAACGTGAACAAGGAGAGGCTACCGAGCATTCCTTCCCGGCCTTTGAGAGTGAGCTATCCCCTCCAACAGACTGGACGCTCCCTCCGTCAGGCCCACACGAACCCGAAGACACATGTCTCAGTGAGGCTTTGGCCCCCGCAGCAAATGGTGACACGGATGAGACAGGCAGCCACTACGCCAGCCGGCCGTCTATCGTAAAAGGCGACTCCTGTGCCTCGCAAGACTCCCTGATCGCACCACAAAGGACAGAGAGGGAAGAGGAGAGGCCGAGCGTGAGCATTGCGGTGATGTCACTGCCACTTGATGAGGGGGAGACAGGGGCGGGTGATGACGTTGACATCGACCTGCCAGTGGCTGTGGTGACGATGAGTGCCGGGCGGGCCTCCCCCGCCCCGGCACGTCGGTCATCCAGCCTCACACCCCGGCCCACATCGCCGCACGAGGTCCGACAGGGATGCAAGGAGAAGGAGAGCACCCCTCTTTGCCACTTCTTCCAGGCGCTTCTTCTTGTTTCTGTCTGTCTGTCTGTCTGTCTTTATTGCTGCAGGAGGATTGGCATCACAAACCATGGCTCACTGAGCTACAGCAACAGCAAACACGGTATACATACATACACGCGGGCCCGATGCTATGCTATGCACCTGCCTGTATGTGTGTGTTTTGACAGCACAAGCATTGTGGGAATGGGCATTCCGGAGGAGCGGCCACAGGTATGGCTCATGGAAATGCCACAACAAGGAGGGGAGGAAAAGGAAGAAGCTGGTGAACCAGCTGCAGAAGCCATCCGAGGAGAGCCGCCACAGTCAGCACCGGTCCGGGAGGGGAAGGAGACTGCAGCGGAGACAGAGAGGCATCTCCCATCCCCCACAGCAGCCGTAGCGCCAGCAGTGGAGCAAGACGACATCACAGAAGTGGTCTACGCAGAGGCACAAGCAGAGGAGCCGTCTGTCGATCAGCAGGAAGAGCTCGTCAAAGAAGAGCAATCAGCAGATGTGATCGCACAAGAAGACGAAGAGGCCCCCGGTGAGCCGGTGTATCCTCCCACGGAAGAGCCGCTCCTTCCACCTGACGAGACTCCAGCCCCACCACCCGTATTCCTCACTGAAGTGGCAGCTGCCTTTGACATGGATGAAGCAATGCCCCCTGCACGCGCTGACGAAGAGCCAGCGGGTGCTGGTGTCGAGATGCGGCGGCCCATCGTCATCTCGCCACCAGGTGATGCCAAAAACTACGCGCGCATCTTCCGCTCCCGATGAGACAGACATTGCAGTGTGTCGGTATGCAGGTGATCGGCCGCTGCGCCCGATGAGGGGCGGTGACGGTGCGGGACCACCGAGGCGACGCCACAGGTCTCCTCGGCTGCCCATCCCCACCACGTCCTTCACCCCACACCCCCACTCACCCCGCAGCGAATCGGACGTGTCCACGCCTCTCTCAAGCATACAGTGAGCGGACACAGAAAATGTATCTTCGATCGGCGGTGACTATTGCTGCCGGTCATCGTGTGGTTTAGGTACGAGGTGTCGTCAGGCGAGACGGAGAGTTCCCGGGCGTCCAGCAAGATAGCCAGAGAGTATCGCAAGAAGCAGCAGGAGCAACAGCAGGCAGAGAGACTTGACAACCAACACCCGCCCCCACTACCGCCAGCACTCGCACCCCCACAACCACCAGCACCAGCAGCAGCTCAGCGGCACCCCCGCCGTGCCAGACGCGCCTCCCTCCAGGCAGTCACAACACCGCAGGTAAACAAATGCGGCACCCCATGTGATCTGGCCCATTTGCTCCACCCATTTTCTCATATGTTTGTCCCTTTGCAGGTGCCAGCAACAGCGAGGGAAGAGCCCACCCACACACAGGGGGGGCGCAGGAGAGAAAGGGGAGGGAGTAGGGTGACACGCGCGCCCAGGACCTTCCATGGGGGCTTCTCGCCTGCGACCAGGCGGTCCACTGGCGCAGTAGCTGCTGGCTTCCAGCAACTTGACACAAGGGCAGCAGATCGAAGGGCAGAGGTGAAGCCCAAACGACCTCCAGATGCCGCCCTCCCCCCACTTGTCACGCCGCACACACGTAAGACGAATTAATTGACACACAGCACAATGGTTCATGCAGATAGCGAAGAGGTGTCTGTTTGGCGCTATGGCAGTGAGCAAGACCACCGCCGAGTCCCTGCTGTCTTCCCCCATGGTGTCGCCTCGCTTCGAGAGGACAGCCTCAAGAATATCAGCAGCAGAAATGCTCACGCCTGTAAGCGACAAAAGAACCCTGTCTCTGCCTCATCCAGACCACTGCAGTGCCCTGTGTGTCCATCTCAAGGATCGCCGGGCGGTCTTCTTTGCGCCCGCCAAGACAGATCCCCTTTTCGGCTTCTTCTGCCGCCAGATGCAGCCGGACAGCAGCACGAGTGCAATGTCGCCGAGAAGCGGAAGCCCGCGCAGAGACAGAGACCGGCCGCAGCCAGTGGTGGACGGCAGCCACCACAAGTCCCACTACAGCGTCCCCTGCCAGTCGGCCTCGCCGCTCCTCGTGCGACCGTGCGAGACGCCCGATTTGTATCGGAAGCTCATGTCGCCTATCGACAGACAACAAGCCTTACACACGTGAGAACGAACATCACACGACGGTTACAGACACACCACACGCATTGTTTCTCCGTTCCGTGGTGGTTGTTTCCACCATGTGCGCATGTGTGTGCAGCGTGTATCGGCCGGCGGCATCCCTCAACACTTACGAGGCCATCCAAGACGCGCCCAGCCAGGCATCCACCCAACGACAGCAACACGCGCCTGTCCCAACATCGAAATCAAAGCCCGGGAGCCACCGCGACGCCAAGTGGGTCGACAAGTTCACGGCCTTCGACAACACGCGGCTGCCCCCCACGCTGTCGCGCGTGTCCACGAGAGGGAGAGCCACAAGCGGCGACGGAGGAGCGACGGCCACGGGCAGGCGGTGCTGTGGTGGGAGGACAGCACGGGTGCTACCTTTCCTATCCCAGCCTTCTTGCCTTCACGGTACACCCACACTGTGAGGAGTGCCGTGGAGTGCATGCGACTGCAGCAGCTCAAAAAGAAAAAGGGGGGGCCGGGCTGATGTCATGTCATGGGGGTGATCGACCTTGTCTTGCTTGTTGGTTGGGATGCTGGCTGCTCATTTGTGAATGAAGTGAACGGGCAGATGTTGTGGGTGCGTAGCTATCTGTAGCTGCTGGACAGATAGCTCATGTGTTTTTGGTGCTCTGCCTCCCTCGGCTGCATGCCCTCGAGAGATGGTGTCAGCGCTGTGGAATGATGGGATTGCCGCTACGTGTCCGTGTTTCTGTCCATGGGTTCTTGTGGGTGTTGAGGGCCTGTTCGCCCCATTCACACACGCGAATCCATTAAACCAAACAATTTCGTCTCGCGCTGTCTCCCCTGCGATGCGTGCTGGACAGGTGCGGGCACAGTACTCATACACATACACACACACACACAGTCTGTGTGTGTTTTCTCTCTCTCTCTCTCTCCGTCTCCCTTTTCCCTTCCTCCGTCTTGGCACCAACCTAGGCCTCCGTCTCTGAGACGCGCTGCCACGGAGACCGAGGAGCATCTCTCGCCAGCGCTCTTTCCATGATCCAGCTGGGGCATGATTGCGTGTCGGTTCGGTGTGTACCGATGTCGGTGGGGAGCGGCTGCTGCTCGCGAAATAGACCCATCTGCATCCACAGCAAGATCTGCACCCACACAACGCACACGAGGGAGATCTGCCATAAATCTGCCACGAAACCACCACCACTCTCAAACATCCGGGCCGAACGAGCCGGGCCGCCCTCGCCATAAGCGCCAAATAGCCAAATCGCAAAAATGGTGAGAACGAGCAAAGATATCCATCCATATCCGCCTCACCGCGACCACCCTACACATGACCGCACCATCCATCACCATCCACCATCCCTGCGTTCCGTGTGTGTGTGTCCATCCATGTATCCGCCCAGGACCCACATCCTGACGATGAGATGAACGGCGAGTGGGACGGCAACGTCAACGACATCGACCAAGATGCCGACGCCGCCCACCGCGGGCAGCAGCAGGATGACGATGCCGATGGCGACCAGCCGGAAACGCCCCTGGAGGATGAAGGAGAAGAAGAAGATGAGGAGGAAGAGGAGGAGGAGCGAGGGGAGGAGGAAGGTGCTGCTGGCGGGGCGGGCGAGGCCAGGGTGCGAGACGACGTGGATGTACGCGCGCGGGCAAATCAGACGCACAGACAATGAGGGAGGGAGGGAGGGAGGGCACGGAGGGAGGGCAGGGAGAATGGTCTTCTGTGCCTGTGTGTATACAGGTGTTCCTCGGCGAGAGAGTTGAGCTGCCCCCCGGTCCAGGCGAGGAAGAGGAGGGCCGCAACGACGAGGACCTCATGGACGACCGGGAGGGATTCGTAGCCGGGCAGCGGTACGCAAACAGACCACCCCTTCCCCCCAACACACACACCACACCACACCACACCACGCCCCCCCCCCCTGCCCTCAATGTACATGTATGCAGTGATTTGGACCGTGGCAACAACAATCCCGAGTTGGATCAGTACGACGACGAGTACATCGATGACGAGCGTGACATCCGCGTCAACCGTGCGGCACGGGCACGGGCCGAGCAGTTCCTCGACGAGCGAGACCGCCGCGAGGGGGGCGCGCAGCACGAAAGCGGCCTGCCCGAATGGTCGCAGGAGGAGGATGGTACACACATACATACCCTCACACACCCACACAGAGAGGGGTCGTGCTTTGTGGTGATGGGTTTGGTCATTCTCCAGATGACCAGAATCCCTTCTACAAGAACCGCCGCCAGCGTGCCGGGCGTCGGAGAGAGCGGGATGAGGGGGCGGGGGAGGGGGAGGGGTATGAGGGCATGGACGAGGAATCGGATGACGACCCCGACCTGGTGGGAAATGAGACCCACTCATTCTCCCTCTCTCTCTCAGTGTGATTGGTGTGTTGTGGGTGTGTGTGTGTGTGATGTGTAGGGTGCTGACATAGACGCCGATCCCTGGGAGGTGCCTGACAGCGAGATGGACGAGAGGCGGCCGCACATCCAGACCATCTTCAAGAGATTCCTCAAGACATTCAAGGCACCCGACGGCCGCACAACCAAGTACAAGGAGGAGGTCGACAAACAGTCCGAAGGTCTGTCGGTCGGTGCAGCACACGGACGGCCAGATTGCCATGGGTGTGTGGTGTGTGGTGTGTGGTGTGTCAGCTGGTCGGTTTTCGTTCTATGTCGAGTACATCGACATCGTCGACGTCTCACCCAACCTGGCGCGATGGATCCAGGGTGAGTGCGTGTTGACCCACACACCTTTCGACCCACCCACCCACCCCACATGTGTGTGTGTGTCAGAGCGGCCCGTCGACACGTTGCCCGAGCTCAACGCGGCGATGCGCCGATTCGCAGCCAAGAGCTACCCCGACATGTATGGACCACACGTACCCCGCGCAGCCACGGTCAGCCCTTCGCCACACCCACCACACCCTCCATGTGGCCACCTGTGTGTGTGTGCTTTGTAGGTGACGGTTCGTTTCAAGCGTTACCTGGAGGATTTCGATCAGCTGGCGGGCATCGCAACGCGCAACATGGGCAGCATGGTCAACGTGCCCGCTGTAGTCACACGGCGCACAGGTAGGTCATATACACATGACATGACAGAGAAATGCTCATGTGGATGGATGGATGGCATATATGTGTGTGTGTGTGTGTGTGTGCAGCGCCTTACCCGCGTCTGAAGGTGGTGTATTACCGTTGCGGCAGGTACCCCCAGTGTGACGGCATCCTGGGGCCCTACGAGTCGCGCGACGACAAACAAGACAAAGACCTCAAACCAGGCAGGCGCATAAACCCCACCCCACCCCACCATCACCCACCTCCCCCCACCGATAGGTGTTGCTTGGTGTGTGCAGGTGCGTGTGCGATATGCCAGAAGAAGACGGGCCACATTCTGCACCAGGAGAAGACCGTCTACAACAGCTTCCAACGACTCACCATACAGGCACAGACGCACGTCCACACCGAGAGGGAGGGGCAGATGCGCTCATGTGTGTGTGTATGTGTGTGTGTGGGGTGCAGGAGCGTCCGGCGAATGTGCGTGCGGGTCGGGCCCCCTACACGAAGGAGGCCATCCTGCTGGGCGACCTCATCGACACCGTCAAGCCCGGCGACCACGTCATGGTCACCGGCATCTACACGTCCATGTGCATAAGCTCAACACACACACACGCACATCCATACATTCCGGGGGGTGGATATACAATGTGCCTGTCTGTCTGGTGTGGGCCGAATTCAGGCCTGACAAGGAGTTGAACACGCGCCACGGATTCCCGCTGCTGGGGGCGCACATAGAGGTCAACAACATCGTCACTGAGGTACGGTTTGCCCGTGAATCAGCGGGCTGAGCCACACACACATCCCCTCCCTCTCCACCCTCTCCCACTTCGCTCGCACTTGTCAGGAGGAGAGGTTTGTGGGCGAGACCAGCCCTGCCCTAGTCCAGCAATACCGCGTAGGCGCATCCATCCATCCATCCGTCGACACACAGACAGAGAGAGACACATCATGTGTGTGTGTGTGTGTGGTGTGGTGTGAGTGCGTCAGGCTGCAGCCAAGCACCCCAAGTTCCGCAACCGGCTGTTCTCGGCCATCGCGCCTTCCATCTACGGACACCCACACATCAAAAAGGCCCTCACGTAAGCCGACACGACAGCCCGCCGACACACGAGAGAGCCACCGGCACCCTTGCCCTTCCCCGTGTGTGTGTGTGTGTGCGTGCGTGTAGGTATTCGATGTTTGGGGGCGTGCCCAAGTCTAGCGGGGCGCACCATCGCACCAGGGGCGACATCAACGTGCTCATACTCGGTCGGTCAGCCAGCGTCTATGCCCATCCGGGGGGAAGAGAAAAACGGACGAATCTCTATGTGCTGTGTGTGTCTTTGCAGGCGATCCTGGGACGGGCAAGTCTCAGTGCTTGAAGTACGTAGAGAAGACATTCGCGCGGGTAGTCTACGCCACCGGTATGTATGTGCAGATCAGATCGACACACTCAGCCACTCCAAAACACATACATACGAGCCCCTCTCTTCTCTCTCCTTCTCTGTGATGTGTGTCGATTACATGCCATGCAGGCAAGGGCGCCTCTGCTGTGGGTCTGACGGCGTCGGTGAGACGGTATGAGCGTCAGTCAGTATGCTCGCCCGCCACATAAGCCATTCACACATCAGCACATGGGTGTGGTGTGGGTGGGTGTCTGTGCCGAGTGCAGTGATCCGATGAGCGGCGAGTGGGGTCTCGACGCAGGCGCCCTCGTGTTGGCCGACAAAGGAAAGAGAGAGACCCCACACACACTGACACACAGACAGGGGAGACAGAGGGCATGTGAGAGACCATTGCATGCGCCACACAGGCCTCTATGTGCGCGTGTGTGTCCACAGGTATCTGTCTGATAGATGAGTTCGACAAGATGTCTCCGCAGGACCGCACTTCCATCCACGAGGCCATGGAGCAGCAGACCATCTCCATCTCAAAGGCGGGCATCCAGGCCTCACTCCAGGCCAGATGCGCCGTCATCGCTGCCGCAAACCCTATAGGCGGTGCGCACGCACGCCAAATGAGACACAACAATCCCTGTCGCACACACACACACACAGACACAGACACAGACACAGACACAGAGAGAGAGAGAGAGAGTTTGTTCTGTGTGAACGATGGGTGGTGCAGGTCGGTACAACAGTAGCTTGACGTTTGCCGAGAACGTCGACCTGACGGACCCCATTCTCTCGCGCTTCGACGTCCTCGCAGTGGTCAAAGACGAGGTCGGTCAGATGACCACACCCATGACCCTCTCCTCCACACACAGAAATACATACCTCTCTCTCTCTCCCTCTCCGTGTGTGTGTGTGTGTGTGTGGATAAAGGTGTCAGTGGTGGACGACGAGCGCCTGGCCGACTTCGTGATCGCCTCCCACATGCAGGCCCACCCCACCAAGCCCATGGCGCCCCACCAGGACAACATGTTCGCGGACATGATGCAGCAGCAGGATGACGACCCCACCAACCCATTCAAAGACCAGGAGTTCCTCAGAAAGTTCATCTCATACGCTCGGTGGGTCAGTCAGGTCATCCTCCCCGCTCCCCCCTCCCCGCCCTCTTCTCAGCACACAGAGAGACGTGTGTGTGTGTGCAGCACTCACGTCAAGCCGAAGCTGCGTTCGTCTGCCCGCGACAAGATCAAGCTCTTCTACAGCGAGCTGCGGCAAGCCGAGAGCGAGACGGGCGGGATGCCGCTGACCCTGAGGCACTGCGAGTCCATCATCCGGATCGCCGAGGCCAACGCCCGGATGCACCTCAGACACAACGTCACGTACGAACGCCACGCGCAGCAGCCAGGAGATATGCGGCACATCACATGTGTGTGTGCGTGTGTGGGGGGATGGGAAACCATCAGGGAGATGGACATTGATTGCGCGATTGGGCTGATATTGGAGTCGTTCATCCAGTGCCAGAAACATGGGGTAGGTAGTGCGGTCCCCACAGAAATGAATCTCGCCCGTACGCACACACAGCACAGCTTACACCAGCGCATGTCTGCATGTCTGCATGTCTGTGTGTGTGTGTGTGTGTCTTTGCAGGTAGCTGAGCGTCTGCGCAAGAGCTTCGGCCGGTACATCAGCAAGGTGGAGGACCGGTTCAAGATGGTCGCACATCTGCTCGAGAAACAATACACGTGAGCAAACACCCATCCAACATCCATCCAAACAGACAGAGGGAGAGAGGGAGAGAGAGAGAGAGGGAGGGAAGATGCGCTCAACATACGCAAGACCTTCCCCTCCCCCCCTCTCTCTTTCTCTGTGTGTGCAGCAAGAAGGACCGCTGGAACCAGATCCTGGCCAGGGACGGCGCCGAACCGGAAATCACGGCTGTGCACATCGACGAACTCAAAAAGGCACGCACACCATGCACCCGAACACACACACCCCATCCATTCACACGCCCCCATTGTGTGTGTGTTGTGTGCACATGCATCAGGCGTGTGAGGAGCACGACCTCGACGACCGTCACCTGGACGAGTACATCAAGAGCACCATGTTCACTCGCACCTTCATCTACAAACCCGTAAGCCCCCTACTCCCACCCCTCCCCCCACCCCTCATACGCACATCCACCCGTTCATTCAATCAGGACACTCGCACCATCGAGAAGCGCCGTGAGGACATCGACGAGGACCTGGAGGAGGACATGCCGCCCCCGCCGCCCGATGACGACGACATGGGTATGGGGATGGGGATGGACGACGACCGCTGGATGGACGGAGGACCGGGGGAGGATGGCGAGCAGGATGGTGATGGTGGGTTCGAGTATGGAGAGCAGCAGCCGGATGAGGACGAGCTCATGCACTAGCTAGCTAGACAGACAGACAGATGGACAACGAGCGTGTAGAGGCGGGTTTGGGTGTGGGTGGGTCGGTGGGGTGAGTTGGGTGTAGAATATGTGCCAAGATTTGACCGACCGACAGACTTGACTTGCACTCCATCATGGTGTTATGTATACGGATGGATGGATGCCTCCCGTGCACTGCACAGACACAATGGTCATGGTCCGACCCACCCCACAAGCCAGCCCCACACACCCAGCTATGCCATCCATCCCATCCAAAACCACACCACCTTCACTCGCCGTCCATCTCGGCAAATGTGCACGGAGCCGCCGCGCACAAACAGGCCGAGACAGACCTCGAGCGAAGACAAGCGAGGACGGCGGTGCACCACCACCATACACCCCTCATCTCATCCTACTCTTCGTTCACTGTCTGCTTGAGCCGGTCGAAGGCCCTCCACTGCCTGAGTACCTCGAACACCACAATACTGGCCGCGTTAGCAACATTGATAGAGTTCTTCACTCCAAACATCGGAATCTCACACAAGACGTCTGCATGAACGAAGGACACACATTTGGGGGTCTGGTCTGGTGTGGTCTGGTGTGGTCTGGTGCGTTGATGCGGCCTTTCGCACACCCATACCTGCCAGGTGGAGCACATCAGTGGCCACGCCCGACACTTCATTGCCGAACACGACAGCCGTCTTCGGAGGAAAGGATATCTGACGGACGCCAAGATACCACACACACACACACACAGAGACAGACAGGCATGGTCCTGGCGTGCTCATGGTCGCTTACATCGACATGCGGTTGGCTCCTGTCAGTCGTCTCGAGCACCACTATTGTGAAACTACACATACCACACACAGCACACAATCTGCCCTGCCCACACTTGTTACTCGGCTCACCCTTCCTCCTTGAGCTGTCGGACCGCCTCCACACAGGTCCCCACGTGGTGCACAGGAATGTGCTCGTGCGCCCCAAGCGACGTCTTGTCCAACTTGGGGTGCGGCGGGTGCGGCGTGATACCGCACACCACCACTCGCTCCACACCTCCCGCTTCGGCCGTCCTGACCACACACATATGGGACCGTGGCTGCGGATGAATGGATCTTCTCACCCACCTGATGATGCTGCCAACATTGTGTGCGGACCTGACATTGTCAAGCACCACCACCAGGGGGTTTCGGCCGCCGGCCTCGCGCAGCTTCGGGCGGGTCGAGTCCTGGTTGCGAAAGAAGGCATTCAGTGAGTTCTGGTAGGCCCGCACCAGCCCGGCGATCTGCGCAGCGGTCCGCCACGCCGACCTCTCCAGCGGCTCCCTCTGCAGACCAGCCAGCTTGGAGGGGTGTGGCCGAACGTAGGTGTAGTAGGTCCGCTGAGCGGACATCCCGAAGCCATCCCAGTCGATGCACCGGTCAACAGCCGGTGCCGTTGCTGCTGCTGATGCTGCTGATGCTGCTGCATCTCTCGTCGTATGCATGGTCGATTCATTGGCGAGCTGAGGCGGGGAGAGGTCGAAGGACCGAAGGGCAACGTCGAGAGCGGCCTTGCGCCGTCCGGAATATTCCTCATAATCGGCTGACGAGACCGTGGTTGCATTGGTCGACTCATCGGAAAGCGCCGGCAGAGAGTAGAGCCTCGTTTGAACGCGCCATGGCCGCAGGCGAGATGGATGCCGGCTGCCAGATCTGGGTGGTGCGGCGGTGTCCAGGAAGGCCCGTCGATTTGCAGTGGGAGGCCTCTGCAGGTGTGCTTGAGTGTTGACTGCATGTGCAGCAGCAGCCAGAGTGCCCAGCGGAGCGGTGAGGGTCACCAGCTGCAGCACCTTGCATGATTGTGTCTTCACCGTCACCATGTAGAACTGACAAGACAACAGACAGGAAAGATGCAGCAACGAATGGGACCCCAGATCTTTCACCCTCTCGGGGCAGCTGATGGAGCGAGCAGTTTCACGCAGTGTCCTAGCGCGACTTGCGAGCTTCCTTGGAAGCTCGCACTTTGCAGGGAGGACCGATGCAGTTGTGACGCGGCGTCCGACAGGGAGCGGCATCGGTCGGTCGGTCGGTGAACCAGTTTTGTTAGTCAAGCAGGCAACAGTCAGTACTTATGGCGCACGGTCAGATGATGACGCCGAACCCACACCCCCCTTACGCTGGCCGCCCTCACTCCTACGATGGCATGGAGCCGTCCTCGACGTTCCGAGCCCTCTACCACCGGCAATTCTACAAAACTAGGTCAGCGGCAGGGGGGAGGGCAACGGATGGATCGATAAATGAGACACGGAGGCAGACAGGACGAAGGAGAGGCTGATGCGCGGGGTGTCTCGATGAGGAGGGAACGTGTGTGTTGTGTGGTACCTGTGACTGTGCGTGTTCCTGCAGCATCTGCCGGTGGTACCGTCTGGGCAAGTGCACTCTCGGCGCCAACTGTCGGTTTGCGCATGGGCCTGAGGAGCAGCGGGGACCTCCCGACCTCAGAGGCACTGCACTCTGCCCTGTCCTCATGACGGTGAGTGAGCTGCCCGCACACGGTGGACCCCCGACGCCGGCATGCAGTATGTGGATTGTTGGTTGGTTGTGCTGTTTGTTTGTCTGCTGGCTGCAGTATGGTCAGTGTCACAAGGTACGGTGCGGCTATGCCCACTCGAAGGAGGAGCTCCGCGCCACACCGGTGTTCCAGAAAAAGGTCCTCTGCAAGGCGTGGCTCAGAGGTCAGCCGATCACACACATCCACAACACATCATCCCACCACCTGGCTGTCTGTGTTGATGTGGGCGTGTGTGGGTGTGTGCAGGTGGCTGCGACAATTCCCGCTGCCGTTGGGCTCACGGGATGGAGGAGCTGGAGCAGAATCGCCCCAAGAGCTACCTGCCGCAGCCACAGGCGTTCCAGATCCCCAAGGAGGACCAGCTCGACAGGCGCATGAGGGTCGCACCACAGGCAGAACACCTCGTCGAGGAAGAAAAGTAAGCTAAGCGGGGCAGAGACGGAGGAGGGGGAGGGGAAGGGGAGCCGACGTGATTGATGAGTGTGTTGCCTCTGTTTGTTGCTGTGTTTGGATCGTTGCAGGCGGCTGATTTGTTTAGTGTGCATGGAGAAGGAACGCGCCATCCTCCTGCGACCATGTAGGCCGTCTGGCTGCCACACGCACACACACGCACACCCACAAGGGTCACCAGCTGAGCTGAGATGAGATGTGTTGTGTTGCTTTGTTGTCTTGTGTCTGTCTGGCGCAGGCAATCATTTTGTACTGTGTGAGGACTGCTACGAGAAACTCTGCAACGTGAGAGGCACACACACGGAAATACAGACACCACCAGACCGACATTGATGATGTGTGTGTGAGAGATCAGGACGCGAGCAGCCTCGAGGGAGTGGACGGCGAGTCAGAGCGGCCCCAGTGCCCCAAGTGCCGATACGAGGTCAAGGACCACCTCAGGGTCTTCACATAGACACACAAACCTTCACCCACCCACACACACACACACCCCTCCCTCTTAACACACCAGCAATCTCTTCCTCCTGGCTCAGTGGCCACTGGGGGCTCGTTCATGCGTCTTCCTGTCTTCTGGACAGCGTGTGAATGCTTCCTGAGTGGGCGACTCATCTCAGTAGGGAGTGGGGTGTGGGAGGGCATATGATGGGTGAGGCCTTTCGGCATTTTCCTGCCTGCCCGGCCACCCAACCATCTGTTCCTTCATTGAAGAGATGGTTGGTGGTCGGTGGTCTGTTTGCCTGACCGACCGGCCGCATGAATGGCTAACTGGATGGATGGCTAACATGGTGGATGGATGGATGGATCAAGAGTTGTATACATCAATCACTTTTGAAAGAATAAGCGACACACAACTGAGTTGACTGATTGAATGTAATGTTGGATTGAAGGGAGTTCACTTTTCTAGCGGCGATGGATGGCTGGGGATGCATGTGATCTGTATGGTTGTGTGTATGGCAGTCAGTCAGGGTCTGTCTGTCTGTCTGTCTGTCCAGTCCACAGTCATTCTTGTCATTGTTTGTATGTATGCGGGCGGGGCGGGTCGGCACATTGGATGAATGAATGGATGGATGGATGGGTGGATTTGGTCTAAGTCGAGAGAGGGAGAGAGAAAGAGAGAGTCAGGGCACGGCGCTGACACAACACACCAAAGACAGGGAGGGTGGGCTCCAATTAGGGTTCTCTTCATCTTTTCCATTGAGCTGTTGACGCGGGGCGACCGGCAAGTGGAATGACAATGACATTGATCGATGCCTACCATTGGGATTTCACTTGCCGTCTGCCTGCCTGCCTGCCTGTCTGTCTGTTCAGTTGTCGTTTCTTGTTGTGCGACTAAGGGAGAGGGGTGGGGGGTGGGGGGAGGGTGGCGACTATGTACCTCCCTTCCTCCCTCCCTCCTCTGTGTATGAGTGCGTGTTATGTATTTGTATGAATGAGGGGGATGGTGCAAGTGCCATCCACATGGGGCGTGCCACGGGTGGGTGAGTGAGTGGGCGCTCTCTTGGTCAGACAGACAGACTGGAAGGAAGTCAGTAGTAGGGATGGGATCGGGGGAGGGGGGTGCGAGTGAACGCGGCCGGACTCCTGTCCTGGATGGTCTGCCTGCCTGCCTGCCTAGTTTGGGCGTCGTTTTCTCCTGCGCACTCTCATACGTGTGGCTGCCTGGCTACCCTTTTCTCTCCGCCTGTCTGTCTGGATGTCTGCCTGCCTGCCTGTGAGTGAGGTGGATGGAAGCACGGCGCACCGCCGGTTTGGCGAGTGAGGTGAAGGGTGCGGGTACAGACATACCCGCACAGCACAGTGCGTGTGCCTTCACCACTGCCGGCCGGACGACGGCCGCCGATCAGTGAGATGACTGGATGAATGGATGGATGGATAGTGAAGACACCGATCAGTGGATGGAAGATCACATCAGTGAACCGCTGTCATTTTCAATGCGTTTCTGCCGCACACACATATGGGCAACATAGATAGATAACATGGGCAAGGGCGCATCATCCATCAGCCACGCTGCATAAGCCATGACATGTGCGCATGGTATGGGTCTATGTACCGAAAGACATGGATGTCTGTCCACTTGCGCACACATGAATCCAATCCATATTCGTTGGATGGACGCGACGCACGTCACACAACGCCACAAAAATGCTGCCCTCGCGATCCGATATGGACCCTGCCTGGGGGCGGAAAAGAATAAGAGAATCGATCGCACTCACACACGAGAGAGAGAGAGAGAGAGAGGGGGGGGGGGGGGGGGGG